TGGCACAAGGGGTTAAAGCATGCACTAAGAAGCTCCCTGCAGCCTACTGTAGCACAGGTTCAATCCCTGGCTAGGGAGAGGACCCTTATGGTGTTGCAGACCTCTCCTGATCTGCCTGCTGTTTCCCTCAGCAGTGGATTTCAGACCTGCCTGTTCTGCTCCCTATCTCTGGTGAGTTCTCTCTCTCACACACACACACCCACCCCTGATCTGTACCCTAGTTTGTATGCATAAATAAATCTTTTTTAAAAATGTATCAATAGGCCCTCCCTGGTGGCACAGCGGATTTAAAGCACAGCACTGAGAATCTAAAGCAGCTTCTGCATGAATTCAATCCCCGACTGCCCCGGAGGTGACCACATGGTGTGGCAGACCTCTCCTGACCCACGTGCTGCTCCCCTCAGCAGTGTAATTCGTCGATCTGCCTGTTCTGTTCCCCACTCTGTCTCTGGTGAAGCCTCTCACGGCCCTTGAGCCTCTGGCTTGTACCCCACTTCTGTATGCACAAATAAATCTTAAAAAAAAAAATGTATCAATACATTGAGTCAATGAGTGTTTATGACAATAAGACATATGTTTATTTACAGCATATTATAGTTAATATGTAGAATGTATTCTAATTCAGCCTGAGGAACTTCTTAGAGGAAGTGTGACTGAGCTAATATTTAAAGGACAATGGGAAGGGGAGGAGAGAAAAATCCAGGCAGAAAAAAAACACGCATATGCCAAAGTAGGGATGCAGTAAAAGTGCTAGAAAAGATTACTCTCACTCTTATGAGATATTATATAACTATTTTTTCTTCAAGTCTGGGCAATTGCTCAGATTCCCAAGGTTCTTTGTTCTAGAATTCTATAATTGATGTGTTGAGAAGTTTGTCATGCAATAAGATATTACTATGTCTAATTATTTTTTAAAATATTTATTTATTTATGCTTACAGAACTGGGGCACAGGCCAGAGGTGTGGTGGGTGAGAAGATTCACCAGAGACAGAGTGGGGAATAGAACAGGCAGGTTGACTGAAATACACTGCTGAGAGGAACAGCAGGTGGGTCAGGAGTGGTCTGCCATGCCATGTGGGTCAGCTCCCTGGCAGGGATCTAACTTGTGCTGCAGTGGCTTCAGAGAGCTTCATAATGCAGTGCTTTAACCTACTGCACCACCAGGGAGAGCCCATCCTATGTCTAATTTAAAATGCAGTTAAGCAACAGCAAAACTGAAAAGTCTGCAAGGAACTTGTCTCAAACAAAATATAGTGAGATACACTGATTTTTGGATTTTACCAAATCTTCCTTTTCTTCTTCTTCTTCTTTTTTTTTTTTTTGCCTGTAGAAGAACTGGGGTATAGGCCAGAGGTGTGTGGGTGAGAATATTCACCTGAAACAGAGTGGGGAGCAGAACAGGCAGACCTACTGAAATACACTGCTGAGGGGAGCAGTTGGTGAGATGGGGGATGTCTGCTACACCATGTGGGTCAGATCCCTGGCCAGGGATTGAACTCATGCCTAAAACTCATGCTATAGTGACTGGCTATAGCTTGATGTTGTTGTGACTTTAACTCCTGTGACACAGGAAGGCCTTACTGTATTATTTTTTATTGAGGCAACATAAGTAAGAATATAATTTAAACAATGATAGAATGGGTAGATGAAGGAAGAGGAGTGTTTCCCAGAGGCTATTTTATGTTTTTTTGTGGCAGCTTTGAGATACTAATTCATATAGCATAACTTAAAATTATTTCAACAAAATAAAAATTATGTGTAATCTTACCTGATAATACATTTACATTTTGGTATATGTTTTGCTATTCTTTTTCCTTAATAGATTTTTCTGGCTATAAGCACTCAACTAGCAGTAGTGATAGTATTAATTATAACAAAATTTCATTAGTAAAAAGGATGTATTGGGGGCCTCTCATGTAGTGAACAGGTTAAGTCTCAGCACCATCACCCCTACAACCTGAGCTGGATCCCCAAAAGCTAACACATATATGGCGCAGCAGGCCTCTCCTGTCTAGTCCACTGCACCACTTAGTTTATCTCAGTAAATCCACCTGGTCTGCTTCCTACTCTGTCTCTGGTGAATCCCCTCTAGAATCCTGCAACTCTAGTCTACACTCCATTTCTTTTTAAAAAAATTATCTATTTATGTATGTAGAACTGGGGTACAGGCTAGAGGTGAGGGTGGTGAGAGGATTCACCAGAGACATAGTAGGGAGCAGAAAAGGCAGATAGATATACAGAAACACACTGCTGAGGGGAGCAGCAAGTGGGTAAGGAGAGGTCTGTCACACCACGTGGGTCACTTCCCTGGCCGGGGATTGAACTAGCGTTGAAATTACTGCAGATAGCTTCATAGTGCTGTGCTTTAACCTACTGTGCCATCAGGGAGGGCCCAATATTTTAGTTTTATTATTAATGTTAAAAATAAATTTAAGGCCCTCCCTGGTGGCGCAGCGGGTTGGAGCACGGCACTGAGAATCTGAGGCCACTTCCGCATGAGTTCGATTCCGCCTGCCGCCTGCCCCAGAGGAGACCACATGGCAAGCCAGACCTCTCCTGACCCGCCCGCTGCTTCCCTCAGCAGTGTGCTTCGTAGATCTGCCTGTTCTGCTCCCCACTCTGTCTCTGGTGAAGCCTCTCACCGCCCCTGAGCCTCTGGCCTGTACCCCAGTTCTGTGTGCACAAATAAATAAATAAATCTAAAAAAATAAAATAAAATAAAATAAATTTAAAAAATGTTAAATAATGTTAAAACTAATTTAAAAATTATCCAATACTTAATACTTCAGTAATTAAACATTAATAGAAAAGAAAAATTCCACATATAAAAAGAATGGCACCAAATAAATTTTGAAAGGGCGGCGATGATAAACGAAAGTACAGAATTAGCAGGTCTAGTCCCGGCAGGGAAGATAATTCCAGGAGGCTTATCCTGCCAACATAGCTTTACATTCACTCCCTCTATAATAATTCTCTGACTCATGTATTTCCAAACAATATTACATCACATGATTGAGAAATGTTGGAATCATCACAGTCCTCAGAAATTCAGGTAGCCAAACTGTTTTTTTTTTAAATTTTGATTATCCTCCAGAAATGTGTTCTTGATTATCAACCTCTCCGTGAACCTTAAAGAAAACACTATTAGCGTCAACTTAATTTAACTGAAATAGGTTAAACACTGATACACTATTAAAATATCTAGAACCACTTGGAATTGTAGCAAAAGAGATTAAATAATTAAATCATGTAATTGTATTCACTTTTTAAATAAAGTCCTTTGGGAATTGGTCTCCAGTAGCTGTCATTGTGATGGCATCAGCAACAGTGGATAAAACTGTGCCCTGGTGGCACAATGGGTTAAAGCACCATGTTATGAAGCTCCAGAAGCCACTGCAGCACGAGTTCGATACCCGGCCAGAGAGATGACCCACATGGCGCAGCAGACCTCTCCTGACCAGCCCGCTGCGCCCCCCAGCAGTGTACTTTGTCTATCTGCCTGTTTTGCTCCCCATTCTGTCTCTGCTGAATCCTCTCACTGCCCCTGCACCTCTGTACCGCAGCTCTGTATGCATAAATAAATAACTCTTTAAAAAAACAAACAAACATCAGGAACGTCAGATGACTGGGCTGGTGCCAGAAAACCACTGTACAGAGTGGCAGCAGCTCTTCCTACCGCAGGCAGGTGGCAGAGTTTACAGAACCTCAGCTCACAAGATTTTTCTCTCTGTAAGAACTGTACTAATCAGGATATAGTTGGCAATTCTGAAGCCAGCATTTTACACAGCAGCTACAAGAAAGAGACATACGTGGCTTGGCTGAGATATAAACAAGTGATGAGAAAAGCTAGGAATAGGATGGCCTGTTCTATCAACTCATTGTCCTGGTGGCTCTTGTAAGGGTCAGGGACCAGCCCAGCACAGGCATATGGAAGGAACAGTTGCCCCAAGCAGAAGCAGATACTCGGGAGTGATAACCTCATGACGTGTTTGTCGTCGTTTATCACCACCAGGTAACACAAGCCCGGGCAGAAAAGTAAATTCCAGTTCCTTGTCAAGATTTTCCACCTGGTTGTTTCTCCCCCTTACTTAGGCCTATAAACACCTCCCCCACCCCATCTAACCCTTATACCCCTTACCCTTACGCTTCCCTCAGTGCGACTTCTCTGACCTCAACTCTATGAAGCTAGCTGCAGCCACTGCATCATGAGTTCAATCCCCAGACAAGGAAGGTGACTCACATGGCATGGCAGACCTCCCCTGACCCCTGAACTGGCTCTAGCCACATGTCTCAGACTGTATTTCAGTTTATCTGCCTGTTTGCTATTCACTCTGTCTCTGATGAATCCTCTCAACTACTCCCTTGTACCTCTGGCCTACACCCCAGTTCTTCTACTAAATAAACAAATAAAACAAATCTTTGAAAAAATTGTGAAGCACCATTTCCCCAAATTGCTAATGTTAGCAATTCTATCAAACCAAAGATAGTTTCAATAAATATTTCTGTCCCATTGTAAGACATGAGCTTTCACTTTAGGAAAAAAGACATTAGAACAGTTGCAGAAGTAAACAGGCTGTGCAAAAAGTTGATGTAGGAATGACTTGTGAGTCTCACTCGTGGGCACTCTGATTTACATGGCCTAGAGGGAGGCCTTTGCAAAAGTGTTTTCAAAAGCTCCTCAAGTGAAGCTAGAACTTATAAAAAAAAATCCAATCCTGGCCTTTACTCCAGACTAAGAAAGTCAGAATCTTCATTGGTAAAACATAGAGACAAGTTTAATTTTTTTTAAAGATTTATTTTATTTATGCATACAAGAGTTGGGGTATAGGCCAGAGGTTTTGGGGGTGAGAGGATTTATCAGGAACAGGGTGGGGAGCAGAACAGGTGGATTTACTGAAATGCACTGCTGAGGGGAGCAGCCAGCAGGTCAGGAGAGGTCTGTGGCTCCATGTGGCTCAGCTCCCTGGCTGGGGATGGAACTCAGGCTGCAGTGGCTGCTGATAGCTTGATAGTGCTGAGACTTAACCCCTTGCACCACCAGGAAGGCCCCACATTTAAGTTTTGCTTTTAAAAGCTACTCAGGTGATTCCAATGTACATCAAACTTGGGAACCAATGGTTGAGACTCAGATTTGCTTGATTTAAGGATTAAGGGTATAAACTGTTTTTTGTTTTTCCTTCCTAAGCAAGTCAGTTCTATATCATCACTGTAGTTATAAAAAAAAAAAAATCTAAACTTTATTCACTCTAATGGCCTAGCCTATTCATGGAATCTCTCACCAATTTCACAAGAATTCAAAAGGGACAAAGAGAAGAAAGGTAAGAAAATCACATGAGAAATATTTCAAAATGTTTAGGAAAATAATCTTTTTAGAAAAAATAAACATATCAAACTCCTTTATATACAGTACATCATAAAGAACAAATTGAAACACAGAATTCACTTTTGTTGAGGTTCTAATGTAAAGGAGAGTAATTTAAAAGGTACATAATAGGAAAGCACTTATTCTTCCAATACATTCTAGGACCACAATTTTAAAAGTTACAATAATTTTCCAGTGACTCTTTAGCTGTCTACAAGGCCAATATATCAATCAAGATTTCCGAAAAAAAAAATTTTTTTAAAATATTAAATATCAGGTCATTTCTGCTCAAAGATCAAATGAAATACATATAAGTTGCACATTTTTAGAGACAAGATAAATTTATTTTGCTTTTATTTAAAAATATTTTTTAAATGCTTTTAATGGTCTTATGAAAAAGACATTTATTTTTTCATCACTAACCCTGAGGAAGAACAAATGTGGAGAAGACCTCATGGCTCACTTAGGAACCAAACCCCACACTTTCCACAATTGTAAATGGCATGTAATAGGAGACATCCAGGATGCTGTTCTTATTCAGGCTTCCATGCACAGCACATCTGTTTAAACCACTTAATGTAGAGACAGCATTTGGGTAACAGGTCCAGCAGCATTTCTCTGCCCAAGTGAGAACCATTTAAACATCTTTACCACTTTTAATCTCTACACTAATTTACAAACAAAACAACCTATATACACCAAGTAGGAACTTTGATTCAATACATACCAATATAAAAGGACATTATGCTTCCTTGTTCAAGACGCTCAACCAGCAGAGGAGGAATAGGGGTAAGTTCTAACTACTCCTAGCTTTTACTGGAAAGATGTTAGCTTTTGCATGGGAGTTGATGGAAGGAAAAATGTGGAATTCCATCACAATGAGAATAGCTGTCATTTCCATTCTGTCATTATAATACTTCTTAGGATAAAAGTGGGAACCGCAAATTAGCTGATCTGCGCACAAATTTCAAATTTTGCAAATGAAATAAAAGTTCACTCTCTGGGCCAAAAACCCCAAGCAGCTGTTGGAAGTAAGAGGGCAACAAGAACAGAAGAAAACAGATTCACTGCATTGTTATCAAGAATGGGCTTCCCAGCTATGTGCTTCACCTCATTCATTGGGCTGTTGACTACCTTGCCAGTGCTTTCATCCAAACCTGGAGAAAAAAAGAGGCAAATGAGTACAAAATTCAAATGACTTGATTTTAAAAAAGAACAAGTTAGTTTTTCTCTGATAGGGAAGATAATCTTTGAAAGTTTCTCAGCTATCTCTGAAGTAACTAGAATAATGATTTATATGGTGAGAGATATGGAACCCTGATTACAAATACCTCAGCACTCTTCTCTCAACACTGCTGGCGTTCCTTCAGAAGGAGAAGGGAGAACATGAAAAGCAGGGAGAACATGAAACTGGCAGACCGAGCCTGCTTTACCAGTGGCTCCCTTTCAAGTCAGCCTGTGAGGCCCCCGGAGTAGGAATCAGGCATAAGCCCAAGCCAGTGGATACCCTGACTCCAGCTAGCATGATGCTGGCACAAAGGAGGTGCACAAAGTTTCCCCAAATGAATTCCTCTTTTCCACATTAGACACTTTTTCCAATCCATTCAATATGATCAGAAACTTCCCCAGTTAGAACCCAGTTTAAATAAAGCCTGGACGCTTTAAAAAACATGTGCAATGTGTGTGTGTGTATGTGTATATATAGACTTGATGGCCCATTAGTGTAAATTCAGACTGCTGTTTCCTTAGCACCTAGATGAGACCAAGAAAGTTGATAAAACATTCTGACTGATGGAGAGGAGTGAAAAGGCAAATGTATTATTTTGTGGCAAGAGGAGATCTCAGAGGACTGAGTATAATGAAATGACAGGAGAGCCTCAGCAGGAAATTCTGAATAAAATGGACTCTCCCATATACCTTGAGGGGCTAAAAACTCAGTGGGGTGGACAGCAGGCATGAAGTCACAATAGAAAAGTAGGTCATTGATGTCTAGTTCGTTTAGTAGAATGATTGCTTCTCAAATGAACTTGGAGAACAAACGGGAAGATGGACAATAAAATGACCTGATGCCAAATGATCTGCTTTCCTGGGATTAAGGGAAGTCCCATTTGCAAATACATCTGCATGCTATACTAGCATATCCTCATAGAGCTTCTACTCATTGCTCAACAGGACTAGTTTTCTTCCAATTCATATATCACGTGCAAAAACAAGAAAAACCAATGATGCAAAAGAGACTTTGCTCTATCATTCCTGGCCCTTCAGTTCCCTGTGACTTGGGATTATTGTCATTGTCACATCTTTTTTTCCCCCTTTTCCATCTTTCCCATTTCTTTACCACACACAAATAAGATGAAATGATAAGGTAATGTTCTTACCACTAAATTGCATTGTAGCTCCTAAATATGAGTCCACAATTGATCCAAGTAATCCTGCTAAACCCCCAAATGCAATAATTGGCCACTGGGGAGCAGAAATGTCTAAATCATTAACGAAGACCAACTGTGTGAGGAAGTACGCGATGCCCACAAAGGTACCACCAAGGAGACTAAAGGTAAGACCCACCAAGGTAACCCCTCCATTGGTGCCTGAAAAAGAAACATGGACAAAATCATCTGGTTAATGACCAGGAGACACATGAAGTTAAGGAAAGCCACATCATTTTGGTACTTACCTAATCAAGCCTAATTTAAAGAATGAGTGCTCTGTGATGCAGTCTAAAAATCATCACCTACTTAGAAAACAACCTTTCTCATTAGTAACTTCTGATAGAAGCAGAATGCTTAGTGAAGTCAGCCTGCTTGATTTCCATCTAAGTTCTGCCACTTCCAAACTATGTGTCTATAGTGAAGTTGCCTAGCCCCTTCAGTCTTAGTTTCCTTGATGGTAATATGGAAGTAATAAAAGGACCAATACATATAATAATTACTATTTTTTAAAAAGATTTATTTATTTTTTATATTTAAAGAGTAGGTTTATTAGGGAATAAGACAGGAGTATCGGACATTTGCATAGGCACAAGCAGGCAGGGAGAGATGCCCCAGAAGGGACAGGTTTGCAGAGAGACCTGCATGGTTGTAGACAGGCAGCCTTAGGAGAGCAGCCTCTGCTGGGGGAGGTCAACGCAGAGAGGTTCCAGCATGGTACAGATCAGACAGACAGGAGGCTGCTGCCTTGAGAGGGGGAGTGGGTGGAAAGAAGCACCTGCAAAGTCACAGGTGGACAGAGGACTGCTGCCCAAGATTTATTTATTTATGCATAGAAGAACTGGGGTATAGGCCATAGGTGCAGGGGTGAGAGGATTCACCAGAGACAGAGTGGGGAACAGAACAGGCAGGTTGACTGAAATACACTGCTGAGGGGATGAGCAGGTGGGTCACCTCCCTGGCTGGGGTTTGAACTGTTGCAGAGGCTGCAAATAGCTTCACAGTGCTGAGACTTACCCACCTGCACCACCAGGAAGGCCCAATTCATATAATTAAGAGCACTGTAAGGAAATCACTGTAGAACAGTGCTTTTTCACCTAGTAGCTGTACAAATATGTCCTCTGATAATTTTTGATGAGGAGGAAGAGGGAGAAAAAGGTATAGGCAAGGAAGGAAAATAGGAGAAGCAGGACAAGAAAGTGGTGGAGAAGGAATAAGGGGAAAGAAGGAAGAGCAAGAGGGGTGAAGAAGTAGGGGAGGAGAAAAGCAAAGGGGCAACAATGATGAAAGGAGAAGGACTAGCAGTAGTTGATGATAATGTTAGAAAGGAGCTGAGAGATGTTAAAGCACTAACTACCTAAGAAGTCCCAGGTAATAAAGTTCCTTTTATTCCCCTCTTTTCCTTTCTGGCCATATGTCTATGCGTCAACCTCTATGCCTTTGTGTAAAGTTTCTGACTTGCTAACATCTCCTGATTTATTATCACCAATTTAGTAGCCTGCAGACACTTTTAATTAAGGAAACAACTAAAATTCTATAAAGTTTCTTAAATAAATGCACACCTTTTTTGCTTTCCCAACAAACTTAAAGACTCACCAACTGGAACTTTCTTCCAAGTTGTTATCAGTCTTGGTGGGCTTTTACTTAAAACGGTACCAACTTCAGAAGCCCACGTGTCTCCTGCAGAGGAGGCCAGAGCAGCCAAGAGAGACAGACACATCCAGGATGCAGTGTGTTGCTTAGAAAAATCTATTGGTATTTCCCCAGGGCCATTTTCTATCATGTACAGCAGGGCAAGCTCTGTGGGCACAGCTCCATTACAGAATACCTGAATCCAGTTCCTTTGCCCACCTAGAAACAAACAAGTACATGGAAAGGATAAGAACTGTTTTCTCCTCCGAATAAAAATTATGCAGTTATAGAAACTTACATTCTGAAGTAGGAAAAGAAAAATGAATAGTTCTTTAAATGACAAAAAGTGGTATAGTCTTTGACCACATTCAGTTATGTTTCTGAATTATCACTGACTTGTGGTTCTAAAATGTTGCTGCTACTAGCCACTGTGGTGGAATAATGATAAACTAAATGAACTACTACTTAAAAGTCATTTTTATATAAAATATATCTATTTCAACAGTCTAAACATATCAAAAGTAATTTATCTTACCTTCTTTATATTCTGAATCTATACGTTTCTTTGTTTCTCCCTTCCACTTAGTAAGTTTTGAGGAAGTAAGGAAAAACATCAGCAAAGAGGTAAAAAAGCTGAAATTCGCAATGGTTAAGATAAATCCAACCACCAGCCCTGAAAGAAAGACATATAGAGGCAAATTATAATTAACCTATATACTACTACTGTGGAAAAAAAAATAATGGAACTTTTAAAAAAAGATTATTTTGGCCCTCCCTGGTGGTGCAGCGGGTTAAAGCACAGCACTAAGAAGCTAAAGCCACTGCAGCATGAATTCCATCCCTGCCTGTCCCGGAGATGAACACATGGCGTGGCAGACCTCTCCTCACCCACCCGCTGCTCCCCTCAGCAGTGTACTTCGTCAGTTGGCCTGTTCTGCTCTCAGTTCTGTCTCTGGTGAATCTTCTCACCCTCCTCATCTCTGGCCTGTACCCCAGTTCTGTATGAATCAATAAAAAAAAAAAGTTATCTTCTGGGCCTCCCTGGTGGCACAAGGAGTTAAGTCTCAGCACTATGAAGCTATCTGTATTCACTGCAGCATGAGTTGGATTCCTGGCAGCATGAGTTCATCCACATGGCACAGCAGACCTCTCCTGTCCCGCTTGCTATTCCCCTCAGTAGTATATTTCAGTTCATTGTCTGTTCTGCTCCCTAATCTGTCTGATGATATACATTCAGGCACACATATGCAGACACATATGCATACACACAAGCAAATACACACATGCCAATACACACACACACA